GCATGAAGTTTTCAAAGTTCTAACTCGTTTTCACGAGTGGTTGTAAATTCAGCCTGCGAGAATTCACAAAGCAGATATTTTCTTATCCTTACTGCTTAACTCAATCCACCAGCGTCAGTTCAGCAGATAGAAGATTTTGTTTGTACTTGCGTTTACTGAAAGCTGAAAAGCTGAGTTGTTCCTCGTGGCTACTGGAGGGGATTCCGTTGCTGATTGGCTGTTGATCTAGCACCGGAATGACGTTTGGATGACGTCCCTTTTGGGGAATCCCTCGTTGGATTGGTTGGTCTCTTGATGACGCCAGAAGCTTGAGCAGTTCTGCTGAAAAGTCTCTGTTTGCAAGACGTTAAGTACTTTGAAGATCGCGAAGTTTCAACTGAAGTGTTTGAGTTCTATATGGTCGATCGCCTGATGGTTCAGCTTGTGAGCACAAGCTAGAGTGCTACACGGCGACAAGGCCTTGCTTGAGAAAGCAAGTGGCGAAAGCCTGCGTTCGGGAGAGCAAGCGGCAAAAGCCTTCACTCGAGAGAGTAAACAGCGAGAAGCAATTGAATCTGAGGTTCAAAGGGGTTTTGATCCGTGGCATACGTCCAACCTACGGCGCGATCTGCCAATCGGCTTCTTGCAAGGCGGAGCGTACATACATTTAACAAGAGGCTTCAATTCATCACGAGGACCCCTATAAAAGTTGTTAATACCTCTATAAAGTCTCTTAAATGCAAATATTGTACCTACTATTAAAGTTTACTTTATTTTGTCCTTTTCCTGTTTGGATATAATAGTTACGTTCTTTGGTGGTCACAAGACATCGTGGTTTCTATATGTTGTGACGAACCTTCCAGTCCTGATACAATGAAAGCTTTGTTGTCTCCTGATTGAATTAGTTTAGATCTCATGAGTAGATGAGACAAGACTGACAGGAAATCGCCCCCGAATATTGGAGTCATGTGCTGGGATGATTCCATGGCATATCAGTGTCTGTTATATATATAGAAATCCCTACATGGGTGATACATTTGCCTCTTGGGTGAGGATGTTATACGCCCATCCTAGGGCTTCGGTTCTCACTAACTTTAATAGGTCATCTCAATTCCGACTATATAGATGCACCCGTCAGGGCTGTCCTCTTTCGCCTTTGCTTTTTGCAGTTGCAATTGAAACTCTCGCCCTTGCCATTAAAAATAATCCTTTAATATTGCCCCCAAATATAGGCCAAATTAATCATCATATTTATCTCTACGCAGACGATATTATTTTATATCTTTGCAACCCAGAACAGTCTATACCTCCGTTACTAAATCTGTTAGAAACATTTGGTAAACTCTGATTACTCACAAAAAAGTGAATTTTTGGCAGTGACTATTAATATTGACCCAATTTTTATGCTTAGTTTACCTTTTAAAATAGCCATAAATAGCTTGAAATATCTTGGAGTTAATATACCTAGAAACCCTAAGGAGATGTATAAGCTTAATTATTTAACTATATATGCTAGAAAACCTAAAGAGCAATATAAAATGCTGGCGGACCCTACCTCTATCAACGATGGGGTGTGTGAACGCTATTAAGATGGTGACATTGCCCAGATTCTTGTATCTTTTTCAGAACTTACCTGATATTTGCCTAAAAAGTTCTTCAAAATTTTAGACTCTATTGTAGTGCCATTTGTCTGGGGCTTCAAAACACATAGAATATCTAAATTACATGTGTGCAAGCCAAGGTCATTGGGGGGTTTAGGTCTACCAAATTTTCAGCACTACTACTGGGCTGCCAATTGTAGAGCCTTAACTTACTGGTATGGCCCACAGCCCAATAGTCTCTCAGATGATCTTCCTTCATGGCTTGTGATTGAACAGGGTTCTTCAAACTCGTCTCTCTCCTCATTGCTATTTGCAGCCCCAGAGACATCTAAAGCTGCAGTAGGATCCCACTTTATGATTAGTAATTCTCTTAGGATATGGCGTCAGATCAGCAAGACATTTAAACTGCCAAATACCTCTTTGTTTGCTCCAATCAGTCGTAACCATGCCTTTAAACCTTCGCTTTTATATCCAGTGTTCACAGGTTGGGCTAGAAAAGGAATTCTCTCCTTGTGAGATTTATATATGGACAAAAGTTTTTCTACATTTGATCAGATCATGTTTCTGACTAGTTAACTTAAAGAGCTCCGTCTTCTTTCTTCACAGATTCACCCAGATCTACACTGACTGTGACATCAGACAGTCCTGTATTCACTGGAGAGAGAGTCAATCTGAAGTGTGTGATTGAGTCTCACAGTAACTGGAGATATGAGTGGTATAAAGGCACAGACAGTGTAATGTCACAGACGTCTGAGTGTTACACTGTAAACAGAGACACTCTCACTATCAGAGGAGCTACTGAGTCTGATCAGGATCTGTACATGTGTAGAGGACAGAGAGATGAAAGACCAAAATCATCACAATCAAGCTCTGTTTCTCTCAGATCCAATTCTCAGATGTTACATTCACACTGCTTATAAATACGCTTGTCACTCTTCTTTTGAGAATTTGCTTCTGTTTTATACTCTGTTTAAAATTGATTTAATACTGTTTAATAATATTTTAACTTGCTAATGGGTTGTTTACACGTGTGTTCTTGTGTTCAAAACAGTTAGAGCAAAACACAATGAAACTAATTGCAGGAATCTTAACATGTATTTTAAATTTGAAGTTTGAGGGGTCATCTTAAAAACACAAAACTCATGGCTCCATAATCCTGATAAAAACAGAGAGACACGACAGACGACACAACAGTTAAAGGTTTCTGTCTGACAGACCTGGGCCCGTTTTCATGAAAACTCTTAGTGCAAAGTGTTGCTCCTAGTGAAAAAATTCAGAGAAAATTCTTAGAAAAGATCCTTACAATTAAACAGAAAATCCTAGTGAAGATAAAAGTCATTCACAAAGCATCTTAACTCTTAAAAGTGTTAGGAGTAGGGAGGAAGACTTTTAAGAGGCTTAAGAGTTTATTTAGAAGAGGAGAAAATGGCTGAAAGATGAAGAGGGAGAAGAAATGTTGCAGACAATGGATGACAGTGCTAGATTAGATCATGCAGGGATCATGTTTGTGACCGATCTTATTAGAGACACAGCATATATATATATATATATATACAGTATATATATATATATATATATATATATATATATATATATATAAGTGGCGAGCAGTGACTTTTTTTAACCAGGTATGCCAAGTGATAAGATTAAGCCCCCCTCCGCACTCCTCATCGCTTTTAAGACGCACTCAAAGAGGAAAACACCGTGACAGGTGTCGATTTAAAATAAGGCCTATGCACATTCCTACTTTATTTGTAAAGGAAATTCATATCCAATCCTTCTTCTATAGTTTCAGGTAGTTATTCGAATGCTAGAAAACAGCTGCTTTTTCGAGTAAAAACCGCCAAATAACGTAGTTATTTTATGATATATTCAGAGGGTGGGGAGATGGGGGATTTATTTATTTTTATTTTTTCATTCATTCAGTCATTCATTCATTCATTCAGTCATTCAGTCATTAATTTTTATTCCCAGTAAACTCCCACCCGGGCGACACTACTCCAATAATAGACATGCAAAAAGAAATTTAAATAAATAAATACAATAATTAAACATAATAATAATAATATCTTTAAAATATTGCCAAGTAACATTGCAAACAACAATCAAATTAGAAAATTACTTTAATTGTAAGCGACACAAGTATATGGAAAATATACAGTTATGATGTCCTTTTTTTCCAGCATCAGCGCATTTTTCCACTTGGGCGAGCGCTTTGCGGACAGCTTACCTCGCTCATGAAATCTCCCGCAGACCAGAAAATCACTAGGTGCGTTTACATGGAGCATTGTAATCGGTTTAAAAGTCCAATCCGAATGAAAATGCTCCATGTAAAGACCTCAATCGGAATAAAAATGCCCAAACTGAATGAAATTGTAATCGGTTTGAGAGGGGTGGGATAAACCTTTCTATAAACCGAACAAAATTAAAATTCTGCCATGTAAATGCATTAAACCGATTAGCCTACTTTACGGCATTCTGGAATAGTGGAGGTAGAAGTAAAAATTTTAATTATACAGTTAAAAACACAGAATGGAGAATGCTTGCTGTGTGATAAACTGCTATATCAGCTCTCACAGGGGCGCGGGAAGATGTTTTCGGTTGGGGGTGCTGTGTGTGTCCGTGTTGGGTGAAGGGGCGGGGGGGGATGTTTCACTTGCGTCGGTGCTCGTGCTGGGGCTGGTGTTGTTTGGATGCCGATTTTGTAAAGTTTTTGCTGGGATGGGCATTTTAAAAAATCTGAAATTCGCTTTTGCGCCATTATCTCCTTGTATTAAAGTTAATCTTGTTCGCATTCTGTAAAGTTTATTTTCTGATACCACGCGCCAGCGTCACGTGTTCATGTGGATTAGGCTAATCATCACATATAGAAAACATCACAAGTAAAATTAATCATGTTTATAAAAATAAGCATGGGTTTATTATAGCCCACTTACAATTTACATTTCAGAGATCATTACAAATAAATTATTAAATGCTAAAACGGAATACATTTAAATGAACAAACTTGGCATTGCATTTGCAACCATGTGAAAACAGGGGGTGCTGCAGCCCCCTCAGCACCCCTACTTCCCGCGTCCCTGAGCTCTCATGACCGGAGTGGAAAACGGATCTGAAATGAAGCGCAATTTTCAGATTTTCAGCTTAGAAACAACACAATGGTGACAGTAGAGCTCAATGAAAATAAACAACTTGACCAAAATTTGCCTTTGTCATTTGTATTTATTTATTACAGAGTCATAATTCCCAATCTGCTTGAATTTATAGGGGCTCACGCCATGAATAATGTACGAAAACAGGCTTAGTAATGTTATTTGTGATAGGCTATAGCTCGTTACGATCGCTCTCCGTGCTCATAAAGCAACGCTCCTTTGATTTATTGTTCAGCAACTCTTGGTAAGAAATTGTTTATTTGTTCTATTTAAGTAGCCCACAGTAAAACTTTTTAGTATCACAATACAATTCATTTCAGAGCTGCATTACAGAGGGTTGTACTGTTATTTTATTCCTCAATGCTTTAACATTAAGAAATTATGGCGATATGATGATATGTGTTGATCAACTGGCTGAGATCAAGCTATATTGTGTTTTATCTGATAGATATATCTGTGCAACTTAGTTATTAGAAACTGCAAACGAGAAATCAATTTGGTTCTGTGTGTGGTAGAATAGAAAACGGCTGTATAATTTCTATGAATGTGTATGTGTTCTGGCCACATGACTGAGCACTCAAATGAACGCAAGGGATTCAAATATTAGTCAGTTTATTCTAAGCAAGCGCAAGCAGCTATTAAAAGTATTAACGCAAAAAACGCGGGCATTTTTTCCTCTGGTGATTTGTAGGCTTTTTGTTGTCATTCGGATTAGATAACGTCTCATGCAAACAGTCCACCTGAGAACGCGCTATAATCCTGACGAGTCATAGCAACAGAGCGGAGGCGAGAAAGCTGCGGAGAAGCCGCTCGCCCGGAAGCAACCGCAACTGACTGAAGATTTACAGAAAATTACCGTTGTTTTCAAATAAATAATTTGACATGCTTATTCCCAACACTTCATTAAGCTTTAAGTCACATCTCAAATGACAAGGGATCAACTTATAATCATGTTTATATTAATTAGCCCGTGAACTCAAATATGTATACGTGTGTGTGTGTATCTGTATTTGTGTGTGTGTACAGTGCTTATCAATTTTATTTTAAAACAATGTAAGGTTTGTGCCACAGGAACTAAAATCATTTATTTATATATATATTTCTGTAATGGTTAATCCACCAGTATGTGTAAACTCTTTAGTTCAGTTTCAAGTTCAAGTTCAGTTTTATTTCTAGAGCACATTTAAGCACGAAACAAGGCCGACCAAAGTGCTGCACAACATACAATAATATATAACAAGGAGAAAATCAGTAAACAAATAAAAACAATTCAAAATCCATACAACAACAAAAGCAGATTAAAACAATTCAAAGGCACATATTATTACATGTTAAAAGCCGGAGAGAAAATATGTGTTTTAAGATATGACTTGAACTCAGATAAAGTGGAAGCCATTCTGATGTGAACTGGTAAATTGTTCCAGAGGGTGGGACCAGCCACTTCAAAGGCTCTAGATCCTCTGGTTTTTAAGCGGGTTCTAGGGGTCTGAAGGAGAAATTTGCCCTCTGATCTTAGTCCCCTCTTCGAGGAGTAGGGGTGGAGTAAATCAGATAAATAAGACGGAGCTTGATTGTTAAGTGATTTATAGACAAGTAGCAATATTTTAAACTCAATTCGATAGTGAACTGGCAGCCAATGCAATGATCGCAAGAGGGGAGTGGCATGATCAAACTTTTTACACCGCTTCAAGAATCTAGCTGCTGCATTTTGAACTACTTGTAGCCGAGAGATTTGGGACTTTGATATTCCGAAATAGAGGGCGTTGCAATAATCCAGCCGAGACGTAATAAAGGCATGGATAGCAACCTCTAGAGAGCTTTTTGAGAGAAATGACTTGATTTTAGAAAGGGAGCGAAGATGGAAGAAGCTAGAAACTACTACAGCACTAATTTGTTTATCAAATTTTAAGGAATTATCAAACAACACACCCAGATTTCAAACATGGGGAGAAATGAAGGAGTTTAAGGTCTCGAGATTGGGTTGAGTACTTGCCCTATGTTCTGAGGGACTAAAAACTATAACTTCCGTTTTATCTGGGTTCAAGAATAGAACGTTTTTAGAAAGCCATGATTTGACATCAGTAAGACAAGCAGTAAGAGTACCAATGGTAAAGTTTGTTTTCTTAGTCAGAGGCAAATAAATTTGTAGGTCATCGGCGTAACAGTGAAAAGAGACGTTGTGTTTTCTAAAAATAGAGCCCAGAGGAAGAAGATAAAGAGAGAAGAGAGCGGGAGATAAGATAGAACCTTGTGGAACTCCACAAGTTAGGTTGCCTGTGGTCGAGTGAAAACTTCCAGTTTTTACCACAAATCTCCTGTTTGTTAAGAATGATTTAAACCAGTTTAAACCCCCCCCCCAGTCCCAAATGAGACGCCAAATGAGAAATAAGAATCTAATACTTTAGACCACTACTTTAGTCACAGTAGTGGTTCTAATGCTAAAATATAATTATTCAGTGGCGGCGCTAGGGCGGGGCTTGACGGGGCTATAGCCCCATCAGAAACTTGCTTAGCCCTGGCAGAGCCCCCCAAGGATTTCCTAATGATGTTCCTGCTTTTTGGTGTCACTTTCATTAACATTGAAAAATAAACATCAAAAACCTAAAAAAAGTGCCTAATATGTGGCCTATAAACAATTGATATTATGGGGTAGGGGTCAAGCAACACAAGCAACCAACGCGCAAACTGTGTGCAAGAGTTATGCCGTTGAACCTCAGTCAGTAGAGAAAGTGAAAGTAAAAAACTGACGGAGCTTTCTAATGCTTCATTAACGGCGCATATTCTCTGAAACAACGAGAGATGAAACAACATATGCTGATAACGGTATATAGCCTAACTGTTTTAAATTATTCCCTTAATATTTCTGACCTGTTAAAAAACAACAGCAACAACAAAAAAACTTTTTAAACATTTTCAACGAGGAGTAAGCTAGCCTAAACGTTAATTATCCTCACAGCGCATCATGCGCATGATGCGCTATAAAATTATTGCGGGGCAATAATTTAATGTAATTGAATCATAAAAGTAACCTAATAATAATAATAATAATAATAATAGGCCCAATAAGAAGAATGTAACAGGCCTACACTAATCGTCACTATCGTCGACACATGATACGACGCATCTCAGCACGGGGAGGTTATCGCGGCAACCCCCCCCCCACGCAGTGCATGCCCATCAGCTATGCCACTGTGTGGAAATAGTTGTATGAATAGTCGGCACTTTATCTATTGTAAACAATTGTAGGAATTGACCATGTTTTCCTGCCAGTTGGCATTGAGAGTGACTGACACTTGATGGTCAGAAAAAAAATTACTAAATAGTGTAAAAATTAAATAAATAAAAATATAAAACAAAACAATGAAAATAAGAAAAAAAATCCCTATGTTCTCTCTTTTCTATGTGTGTTCATAAATTGTATTAATTTGTAAGTGTCATATTTGGCATTTGGCATTAGAAGTTATATTACTAATAACAGTGGCATATGAGAGGTTTAATACCACAGAAATATATATTTTTTTTTTACTTTTTCGAAGCTGCTGTATATAAAAAACACAAGGTGGCTGAATTTGCATGCTATTTAGATAGCTGAAGCTTATAGATGTTCATTACTTTCACTCAATTTAAGTAGTTTTTTAGCACCCCCTCTGAACTGTTAAGCCCCTCCTTAGCACCCCCAACAGAAAAAACCTGGAGCCGCCACTGATTATTGTTGACATTCAATGGATTTAAAGATAGATCACACAAGTTTCATCAAACGTCTTTGAGAATAAATAGAAACTATTTGGTAGTCAGTAACAACAGAGACTCTGGAAAAGTACATAAAAACAATGCCAGCAAGAATGCAAGCTGTTATTAAGACCAAAGGAGGCCATTAAAAAAAAAGTGAAAGTTTTTTTGTTCTTATGTATGAATAAAGACTATTGAGTTGTTTAGTTTACTATTTTCGTTTATTTGTTATTTGCCCAATAAAATGACAACACAATTTTTAGTTTAAAAAAAGTTTTTGACAGATTCCTAAAATATTTGTTTTTCTCTCTTTATTATGACAGTTGGTCTAATACATTTGTTAAGCACTGTGTATCTCTCTCTCTCTCTCTCTCTCTCTGTGTCTGTGTGTGTGTGTGTGTGTGAGAGAGAGAGAGAGATAGAGAGATTAGGGTCAAATAGGAAGAAATAGACCATATATACATATATATATAATTCATATAAAGTTAAGCCCCACTCTATTCAACATTTATATAAACAAATTAGCTAAATTATTCATTCGACTGCTCCTGGCCCAACATGACTGAAACAGAAATGAAATGTCCCCTCTTTGCAGATGATTTAGTAACTCTGTCAAAAACAAAAGAGGGACTACAACAGCTGTTCAGTCAAACATGGGCTCTTAGATTTAACCTACAACAAGAATAATGATTTTTCAAAATAGATACAGGTGTAGGGAAAACAAATACACCTTTAGAGCAGGAAACGATCCTCCAACACACCCACAAATACACTTATCTGGGACTAAAAATAAGTTCAGCAGCAAACTTCAAACTGGCTGTGAATAAACTGAAAGCTAAATATTCTGAACGCAATAATCAAACCAATTGCTCTTTATATGGGGACCCCTAAAAACCCAAGATTTTTCTAAATGGGAAAAAGAGGAAATCAACACTCTGCATACCCAAATTTGTAAGAGCATCCTAAAAGTAAATAGAGCAACACCAACCAACTCAAGCAGAGCTGAATATTAGGACAATACCCCTTATTAATCAGTTTCCAAAAAGAGCTCTGGAATTCTATAAGCACTAAATTGCAGTGAGCCGAGCTCAAACCCTGCAGTGTCAGGAGCAGAACCTGCATGAGCGCTCTTTCACACTACAGCACAGTCTGGCCCAAACAAATTATACAATTACAAAAACTACAGCAAATTACATTGCCTATTTGAAAGATGCCACTAAAGTACAAAAAAAAAAGATGGAACTATATTTACAACTGAAAAGAGATTACAAACCAGCAGAAAACCTGAGCTGTGTGAAAAAGTCCACTTTAAAAGTCCTTTGGCTTTGAACATGAATAATCACTACTTTTAAATGTAACACAGCAGAGCCTCGTGAGGCTTCTGTTCTTAAGCACTAAACTAATTCATATTTCACATTCAACGCAATGACACGTTCTCAAGCCTAATATTTTAACTTACAACTACATTTGCTGCACATTCAATTACATCACATTTTAATTTTAAATTAAAGTTTAAATTTTACATCAAATTTGAATGTATGTACAAAGTTCCCTTTCATGGGAACTTCGAACTGCGTCCTCTAGGGGTCGCTATGGGGAACGCCTCGTCGTCGTGACAGCCGTCTAACGTCCCAGGGGCGACTCCCATAGCAATATGGTAGAGTTGGTACTTAGTGCTCGCCATGGTTCTGGCATGCACTCCCCTCAGCATGGTGGCGTGGGTATACCGTTCCCCATAGCGACCCCTAGAGGACGCAGTTCGAAGTTCCCATGAAAGGGAACGTCTCAGGTTACTTATGTAACCATGGTTCCCTGAGTAGGGAACGAGACACTGCGTCCTCTAGGTTTCTTGCCATGCTACGGACGCAAGCTTCAGACGAAGAAGTGAATGATGTGTGCTCCCGGCGCCTATTTATACTATAGTCGCACCGGTAGTGACGTCATGGCTGTCGCCGGCCAACGAGTTGGTGTTTTTTCAATGTATGCTTCAGACACGGGTCACGACGACGAGGCGTTCCCCATAGCGACCCCTAGAGGACGCAGTGTCTCGTTCCCTACTCAGGGAACCATGGTTACATAAGTAACCTGAGACGTTTTTTCTTCTTCTTAATCATCTTCTTGTTATTTCTTGTTTATAAAAATATATTCATTTATTTACTTTATGGCTGATTTATTTTTATTGTGTTATATATTCATTATGTATGTATATTATAATCATGTGATGGCCAGGCCTTTGGCAATACTGTACAAGTCATTCCAATAAAGCTCATGAATTTAAGAGAGAGAGAGATAATGTACTAAAGATTATAATTAAGATTATTTTATTTTAACTGACACCCACAGCAAAGTTTCAATATTATCTCACCTGAAAATGAAAATTATGTCATCATCTCACTCTTTTGTTGCTCCAAATGTGACTCTAATGAGTTATGAATGGCGACTGGACCTTTTGTAACCGGTCCTACGTGAAGGGTCATCAGCTCTGTGTTGTGTGCAAAAGACAAATGGACACTGAACTTCTGTAGCTGCTCAACGACTCTTTATTTCTGCACAAATGGGAAATTTCTGTTAACCAGGTTAACCAGTCATTAGCCTTTACTAGTGGAAATAGTTCCTACTTAATCATCACTTTCCTCTCCACATCTCTCCTCTTTAACATCAGTGTCACACAAATACAGGAACTCAGATGATCAGATCATGTTTTCTGACTAGTTCACTGAAAGAGCTCCGTCTTCTTTCTTCACAGATTCACCCAGATCTACACTGACTGTGACACCAGACAGTCCTGTATTCACTGGAGAGACAGTCAATCTGACATGTGTGATTGAGTCTTATAGTAACTGGAGATATGAGTGGTATAAAGGCACAGACAGTGTAATGTTACAGACGTCTGAGCGTTACACTGTAAACAGAGACACTCTCACTATCAGAGGAGCTACTGAGTCTGATGCAGGTCAGTACTGGTGTAGAGGACAGAGAGATGAAAGACCAAACTCATCACAATCAAGCTCTGTTTCTCTCTCTGTGACGGGTGAGTTGAATATCATTGTGCTCATAAACTCACTCTATTATGATCACATATCTAGTTGAGAGACTGTAGTTTTGTTCAAAATGTGTATTATACTATTTTGTTTACTGAACATAACTTAGTATATACTGTTTTCTGCCTAATACCTGTTAATAGTATGTGAAACAAGTCACATTATGAAACAATAAATAATTCAAACTTTAGTATCAGTCACATGACCTACTCTCACTATCAGAGGAGCTACTGAGTCTGATCAGGATTTGTACTGGTGTAGAGGACAGAGAGATGAAAGACCAAACTCATCACAATCAAGCTCTGTTTCTCTCGCTGTGACAGGTGAGTTAAATATCATTGTTCTCACGCTACTACATAGGGCCAGGCGATAAAATGATAATTAATTTATCATGATATCATTTTCCTTGATAAAACGATAACAAGAGTTCTATAAATGTTCGATATAATGTTTAAACAGCAGCGCAGCGCGAGCTCACTAGAGCAGTTGCGTTACTCGCGACACTAAACAGCCGTGAGATCCAGAGTGAAGCTTCAATTCAGAGAAGAACACAAATGACTCGCTGATTTAAACTAGATTCAAACCAGATGAAACAGTGCTGACAAACAGGAGAAACACTGTGCACAACGCAACAATACATTCAGAAGACTTTTCAATCCACAAATCACCATCATTTACCATGAAGTTACTGTAGTAATGCTAAATGCACCATGGTATTGTGGCATAAATGTGGGATATTCATATCAAATTTTATTATATAATTAGTGTAGACATGACTTAAATGTATTAAAGGAGTAATGGAATATAATTACAGTCTTTATTTGTCATTAATGTATAGTGTTTGTGCATTTATACTAAATATATTTAGACTACTGTTTTTCATACTAGAAACCATACATAGTTACATTTTTACCATGGTATTGAGGTGCTGTATGAGTGGTTTTAACTGTGGTTATGATGATCTAGAACAGTGGTTAATTTTAATAAAACTCAATCAGAATAATTAAATTTCACCATATAAAAAATAAGTTGTTAGAATATTTACAGATGTTACTGATTTTGATAATGAACATAAATTTACCTCTGCATCCTAACTCAAGCCAAATGTGCATTTCTAAGAGACAAACAATTTTAATATTATTATTGCAGCCTGCACTGCAAACTGAGCTGAAGATAGATGTCAAAGTCAGGCAACACAAACGTGTTTCATCATTTGATACAATATCACTCATTAGAACATGCAGAAACTAATAAATACACTTTTTTCTATTAAAATAATTATTTTGTGAAGTAAAAATGACTGGAAAAGTGTAAATAATTCAAAAACGTTTTGACCATAAAGAGTTTAAAACCACAATTAATGGTCTGGTTTCTACAACTTTCACTCATGGAGCAGAAATCTGCCTTTAAATGTGAAAGAAATAAAGATTTGAAATTCATTGTGATAATTATTGTTATTGACTCGTTTATATATATATATATATATATATATAGTTTTTATAATACATTTCATTATAGAAATATATGTTGCACTGTTCTA